CTAATGCTTTTGCTGATGTCTTGGCAAAACAAGGGATAAATAGGGAAACATTGTTCTGGGCACAATTGTAACTATTGTTTTAATTTCAACATTCATGTTTTCTCTRTTGTAGTTTGYGTATTTGCTRTTTRGWGARGCTGCTCCTCGCGCCTCTAAGGGGATCTTCTTGTATCTATTCATTATTTTAATGGAATTGATGTTATTTATCAAAAAAAAAAGGTAGCTGGGCAATGCCTACACCAAGCTCTAGGCAAATAAAAAAGAAAAGAGATTGGAAAAATTATTTGATGAGTTTTGACAACACTTTTTTGAAAAGAAGAGCAAATTATAAGCTTCCAAAAAGGCAAATGCAATGAAGAAAGAACAAGTTTGGACAACAAGACAAAGAGCACCGATGAGGTAGTGCAGCAGGTGGTCAGCAAGCTGATTTCTTGGGTGTCTGTAACTCCTGACTTTAAGCACCTGAATGTATCTGATTTGCTTAGGTCTTAGTCCATTTGGAGTCTGTAACTTGGCTTTGTGCCCTGTCTAGTCCTTGTGTGGCTAGTTTCTGTTGTAACTTGTACTCTCTTAATTAATAAAATCTTACCTTACCTTTCAAAAAAAAAAAAACAAAAGTTTGGAGTTTGGACAACAATGCTGGTGACATATCATTCCAAAAACAGGGCTAAAACATGCAATGATGAAAGAAAGAAAAGTCTCTTGCATTTTTCTTTCAATGAAGTTTCTCTTCATTGGAAAAAGCAAATGCATCACCGTTCTTGTCTTTTGTCAGTAATAAAGTTCCTTAAAAAAGAAGAAAACATAGGGGAAAGTATGTAATAAGTATACAAGCTTTGTGGCCCAAGCCTCCTAGAAAAACTGTCTCACCAAAATTCCATCCTTAAATCATGTAAAAAGCTATAGGTAATTATAGAACTATCATCTATTTATTTTAGTTCTTTCTCTACTTATACTCTTATAAGTTGCTTGTCTGATTTTTTTTTTTAAATTAAAATTTTTCCATTTTTATGATTGGATCAGAAAACAATAGCTGAAGGCAAAGACTATTGTGACCGGAAGATCAACCTACTGAAATCCAACTACGACCAACTTATTGAGGTACACACTTGCTTGAAAACTTCATTTTAGTTTGGTACTGTGTGAGCTGCCTTTATTTAGTTCATTTGATGCCTTATTTTTTGTTTAACTCATTGTCCATTAATTACTAAGTTTATCCTGAGAAATAGTTGAACCATTCAGGGCCTACACCTACAATTGTTTTAACTGTGTTACATACACCATAGACTGTGTAAAGGAACCATGCCTAACACTGGTCAATTGGCAACGCCAGACACTAGAAGTTCATAATTTGATTATTTGAAATTGAGGATATAACCAAATATGAGATTGCATGCTTGGTGCCTTGGTGGTAATCTTGTTTGACATTTTTAATTAATTAATTCAAATAATTCAGGACTTTGTTACAATAAGACAATGCCATTCCCAACTAGTGAACCACTTTTGGGCTGCAAAGCCTGCAGAGTTTTTTGCTCTTTTTTTTTTTTTCTTTAATACACTTTTTCAGCTTATATCTAGGGGGAATGGGTTTCCATGATTTCTGTCCAAAGCTTTTCAGGTTAAGTGATACAAATATTACAATTAATGAATGTTTTGAGCTGAGGTGAGGCATGGACAGGTGGTATCCCAAATTTAAAAGACCTCTTTTTGACAGAGAAGTAGAGGAATGTGTGCAATTGTTGTCTAAGCTTCAAACAGTGGAGATCATCTTGGATAGGTCTGACATGAGATTGCCAAAGGAACACAGAAATGGTTGCATTGCTTTCCATGAATTCTGTCCAAAGCTTTTTAAGTTAAGTGATACAAATATTACAATTAATGAATGTTTTGAGGTGTGGTAAGGCATGGATGTGTGGTATCCCAAATTTAAAAGATCTCTTTTTGACAGAGAAGTGGAGGAATGTGTGCAATTGTTGTCTAAGCTTCAAACAGTGGAGATTATCTTGGATAGCCTGACATGAGATTGTCAAAGGAACACAGAAATGGTTGCATTACTGTGAAATCATTGGGATAACCTTATTGATATGGTGGCTTTGGACAATGTTCTTATTGACAATTGATAAGCATCTCAAGTGTGGGATCACTTCTTATCCTTGTATGGTATGTCATGGACAGTTCCACAATGTATCAAGGACCTTTTTGTGCAAAATGTAACTAGTTATCATACTAAAAGAATGAGATTTTTATGGAATTGTCAATAGTACAAATGCTGCTATTTTGTGGAGCATTTGGTGCGAAAGGAATGCTTGAATGTTTTATAATAAAAAACACTGTGGAGTCTTTGATTCGGCTGATTAAAGTAAGAAATGAGAATAGCTTATTGGGTGTTGGTGTGTGATGAATTTAAGGATCCATCAATGAATGATCTTATTAGAGGCTGGAACATCATGACAGGAACATCAAACTGGATCCAACCAAGACCTGTTAACTGGTTTCCCCATGAAGAGGTCAGACTAAAACTAAATTTTGATGGTTTCACTTTTGTTAATCCAGGCAAATCTGGAATAGGAATGGTAAGGTCTGATAAGAGGTAGAATATTGCTTTCCTGGCCAGTTGGGTTTGGTACCTTGTTAAGCGCTGATATAACTTCCATATCTTCTATTACAGTAGCAGAAATTAAAGTTATTGCAGGTCCAATAGGTATATCTTCTATTACAGTACCAGAAATGAGGCCCACTAGCTAGCCAAATCCTTATGGATTGATTGAGTCGTCATCAAGGGAGATTCAAAGATAATAATAGAACTTTATGAGGTTCGGGCCAACCAGCATGAAGGTGCCAATCCATCCTCAATGAATGCAGGAAGATTGGATCAAAGTATTGTATAGCCACATGCATAGAGAAGGAAATCAAACAGCTGTTTGGTTGGCGATTCAAGGTCATAATGAAAGGATACAAGACTCTCAGCCTTCTGACTGGAATCTGGATTATTTAGTCTTAGGAGATTTGCTAGGTTGCTCTTTTGCCAGGGTTTTATTAAAAAAAAAACCTTCCATATTCAATACCTAAATCTGGTGGTAGGGAAAAATTGGAGGAATGTGATTGTATAAGGGGCTTCCATGATCTGCTTCTGGTTTACTCTCTTCTTGGATGATTGATTTGTTATCAGCCAAAGGGGTACTCTCTTTTTTTTGATAGATAATGAAAATGATAATTTTATTGATTAAAGAACTAAGTATACATCATACAATTCCCCATTAAGAGGCGCGAGGTGCAGCCTCCCAACTACATCATAAAGCTTACAATTGAGCCCAAAAGAGCTGATTCCTATGTACTCCTTGTTTAGCTAGGAGGTCTGCCAGCCCATTTGCCGATCTTCTTTCCCATTGAACTGTGACTGAAATATCTGAAGTCAGCCACTTAAATCTTCTCAAAGTCCCCCTGTACGGCCATGCTGCCATCTCTGGTTCTTTTAGCCATCCAACAACCAATTTGGAATCACCTTCAATCATTAAATGCTCTACTGCCAACTCTCTTGCATATTCTGCTCCTGGTAACACAGCTTGGAGTTCTGCATTTACTGAGTCTCCACACCATATAGGACCAGAAAATAGAGCTACAATCTGACCTTCATTTCTAAAGACTCCCCCCATTCCAGAAGGCCCCGGGTTGCCCAAACTACTGCCATCAAAATTTAGTTTAATGACGCCTGCATCAGGAGACTTCCAATCCACCACGGGCTTGCTTCTGACTGCAGAACTTTTAGCCAGTTGTTCCCAATTTCTCCTTATGTCATCAAAAGTGTAGGAGGAGAACAGATCCAAGGATTTTACCCAACTTATGGCCCTACATAAGATGCTTTCAAACACACAAGTTTGATCCCTCTCCTTGTCATTAAAGATTCTAGCATTTCGTTCCTCCCACACAGTTCACACCAAAGTGTTGATTTTCCCGAGGGAGACTTCCCAACAAAGGGCTCCAACTTTAGGAGGGACGGGTTTGGACCAAACTTCCTTGCTATGAAAAGGTTGAGGCAAAGGAGAGGAGCACAAGGAAGCAAAGAAGGAAGCACAAGAAAAGGAACCCGAAGGTAAAGGCTTCCAAATACGGGAATCTACAGAAGGAGGGTCCAAGCAAACGAAATTAATGGTTTGAAGGAGCAAAGCAACCTGGTCAAACTCATAATCTCTCAAGTCTCTTCTAAAGCCCAGATTCCAGTTTATGCCAGAAGAAGAGGAAGAGGATACAAACCTTTGAATTGGCTCGTTTTAAAACACGAGATGGAATACAAGGAGGGAAAGAGGTCCTTGAGGGCATAGTCACCAATCCAAACCTCCTCCCAAAACAAAACCCCATCTCCAATACTAGCATCATACCTGATCAGGTTTAGGAAAACAGGAAGAATACTATGAATAGCCTTCCATGGGGATTTCAGCGTAGCACGCCGAGATACACCAGCATCCCATCCGTTGTCTACCGCACCATGCACACTCCTTACCACTTTATGCCAAAGCCTCTCCCTTTCTAGAGGCCACCTCCACAGCCATTTACCCACTAATGCTGTATTTTTCTTCCTTAGATTGTCTAATCCCCAATCCCCCTGCTCCTTCCTCCTACATACTATTTCCCACCTAACCACATGATCCTTCCTCCCTTCCCCTAACCCCCACAATAAATCCCTCATGACTTTTTCTACCTCCAAAATCACCTTTTGTGGCATTCTAAAGACGGAAAGAAGGTAAGTTGGCAAGTTCACAAGAGTAGCTCTAATTAAAGTGATCCGACCCCTGAGGGAAATGTAGTCTCTTCCAAACTACCAGCTTCTTTGTGCATTTTTTTACGATCAAATTCCAAAATCTTCCTTCTCTTGGATTATCTCCTAAAGGCATACCTAAGTGCTTCAAGGGCTAGCTAGATATCAACCTAAGGACTCTGCTACCTCATCCAACTCTTCTGTCTCCAAATATACCCCCACTACACAACTCTTTTCAAAATTGACCTTCATCTTCAACACACATTCAAACAACTTTATTACTCCTTTCAAGTTTCTAGCCTTTGAGGGATCTCCAGACTCGCAAAAAATGATTGTATCATCCGCAAATTGCAAGTGTGACACCACAATACCCTCTCTTCCTACCCTCCATCCTCTAAACATATCCAACCCATTAGCTCTTGAAATGAGCCTACTAAACACATCGGCTACCAAGGTGAAAAGGAAAGGAGAAAGAGGATCCCCTTGTCTCAGCCCTCTAGAGGCTGGAAAGAAGTCTCTAACCACTCTGTTAACTAAAACTGAAAAATGACAAGTTTTTAAAACAACCTCAATCCAGCCACACCACTTCTCTCCAAACCCAAAATTCCTCAGGGATTCCAACAAAAAAGACTAGTCGACCATGTCATACGCTTTCTCTAAGTCCAGTTTACATACAAAACCTTTCTTCCCCCTTCTCTTGAAGTCCTCCACACATTCATTTGCTATCAAGATTTGATCTATGATCTGTCTTCCTTGAATAAAGGCCCCTTGTGATTGGCTTATTAAAGTTGGCAGGGCTGATTTTAACCTTAACGACAACACTTTGGCCAAAATTTTATGAATGCTAGTCACTAGATTGATGGGTCTAAAGTCTTTTGGTTGAGCAACCTTTGCCTTTTTAGGGATCAAAGCCAGGAAGGTGGAATTGATTCATAGACTTATAAAGTGGGTCTCCGCAAACTCCTCAAATACTACCAACAAATCTAACTTGATGATATCCCAACAATCCTGAAAGAAAGCCATAGTGAAACCATCAGGTCTAGGAGCTTTAGATCTATCCATTGAAAACACAACTCTCTTTATTTCTTCCAATTCAAAATCCTTTTCCAACTGATTTGCCACCTCTGAGTCCAATCTAGGCCACTCTAACCCATCCACTTCCACTCTAAGCCTCACATCCCCCTGTCTTTTGTAAACTGCCCTGAAATGATTCGTGAAAACATTAGCAATCTCCTCTTGATCATCCACAACTTCGCCATTGATCTCTAACTTTTCCACGAAGTTTTTTCTCCTTCTTCCATTAGCGATTGCATGGAAAAATTTAGTATTATCATCCCCTTCCTTAATC